AAACTAGTTCACTGTTCAAATCATACCCCCAGAGCTGAGAACTCCTAGTTAAGAAATGTCACTTTGCAGCCTCCTCTTGGGTTTTCTGCTGCAGGAGACGAGGCCTGGTGAGGCAGGAGAATTAACCCAGGAAATGGGGACAGGCTATTTGGCTTTTGTTGAAGCCACGAAGAGCCAGGCTGCAGTTCTAAAACAAAGTGGAGGCTTTTCAATTATCATTATATGAGTCTATTGAAAAAAAAAAAAAAAGGGGGGGGGGGGAAAGAGGAAAAGAATGGGAACGGTGGAGCAGAATCTCATCTGACTTCAGTTGGTAAAACTCCATAGGCTCTGCTGAATTTACATTAGAGCAGCTTCAGATCTGCATCTTTTCAAGTTTACTTCAAATGTCCCCTTTGAGCCAGGAAATCTGGAGAACTTGGGAGCATTTGATGCAATCCCCAAGCAATACAAAGGGGAGCCTGTTCTAATTGGGGCTGTCTCATTAGCATTCAACGCCACACTGAAAAGATGACAAAGGGCTGTGGCTGACCTTTCATTTCTCTCCATGCTGCCAAGCTTATGATAACACTTGTTTGAACTTCATTAACACCATTTAATTGCCTGCATCACAATCAATATGATGTTTCCCTACTGAAGCCTGGCATGGAGACAGGGATGTGGGAGACTGGAAAGGGGCAGAGCACAAAAAGCAGAAGCCAAAGACTATTTCCATTTCACACTGGTGCCCAAAATACCTGCAGTGCTGCAAGGAGAGGAACTGGTGCCTTTTTTTTTCCTGATCCCTGCAGGGACTTGGTCTCCTTTTGGCTGCTCATTGTGCATTGAAAAGAGCCCCTCAAAGAAAAACTGAAAGTCAGTGGAGGCATTGCAAGTATTCTTAACAACTTAAGAGTCTTCAGGTGAAGACCATTCAAAATAGGCCTGCCAGGATCAGGACTAAAAGGAGTTTGAAGTGATTTGTGGGATTCAGAGTTATAACACCTGCATTTAATCACGTTAACCTGGGTGCAAACACTGCCTGACTGAGATGGTGGTACCCAGGTCCTGTGTCCATGGTCTCACCTCCTTGGTTTTCCTTACACAGGCACGTAGTGGTAGGACGAGGGGCAATGGTTTTAAACTAAAAGGGAGAGATTTAGGCACAGTTTAGGAAGAAATTCTTTACTCAGAGGGTTAGGGGGGGCCCTGGCCCAGATTGCCCAGAGAAAATGTGGCTGCCCCATCCCTGGAAGTGTTCAAGGCCAGGTTGGATGGGGCTTGGAGCAACCTGGGATAGTGGAAGGTGTCCGTGCCCGTGGCAGGGAGTGGGACTGGATGATCTTTAAGGTCTCTTCCCACCCAAACCATCCTATGATTCTGTGACTCCTGAAGCACCTATGATTTGCATGCCATTAGTTTTAGATGTCAGGTCTTAGGCTTGTTAGAAAATGCTTTGGGAGCGTGTTTGGAATGCACAAAACAGCCAGTCTGTACTTACTCATGATATAACCTACAGAATGTGTCAGCCTGTGGTTTCAGGACTCTCTATTCACTAGAAAGTCTACCTGTGCAGTTCTTGATGTCTGTTGGCCCCTTTGCAGCCAACTTTAGGAAAAAAAAAAAAAAAAACAACACAATTGGACTAGTTTAACACAATAAAGGTTATAAGTTTCATGCTCCCAAACACTGTAAGTTATTGAGGTTTTAAACAGAAAATCCCAGGGCCTTAAAAGAAGAGCATCACGTGACAGTTGCAAATCCTGGCTCTACTTTAAAAAAACACAGACTCCTGTGTCTCATTCCTCTGCCAGAAAGAAGGCTCGAACTACTGCATGCCAAGGGTCAAGGCAGGGGGTGTTGTCAGCAGAGATAATAAAAAACAGTGCTGGAAGGGGCCTCGGGAGGTCAACCCGACCAGCTCCTGCCTCAGGGCAGGATCAGCTCTGTCTAAAGCCTTCCTGACAGATGCTTTTCTACCCCTTTCTTAAAGGCCTCCAACCACAGAGCCTCTGCTGTCCTCAGGCAATCCATTCCTGTGCTTCCCTGTCCTTCCCATCAGTGTGTTTTCCCTCATGGCCAGCCAAAATCTCCCTGGCTGTAATTAAAGGCCACGTCATCTCATCCCATCCCCAGGGCAGGGGGTGCAGCTCATCCCCTGCCTCTCTGGGGCAGAGCTTGGTGCATCTGAAGACTGTTCACTCGCCTTTCTTCGCTTTTTATCTCAAAAAAACAAAACAAAACAACAAACCTAATGTTTTCTCATCACAGCAAGATGCTGTTCTTACACGGTGCAGGTTTCAGCAGACAGGATGAAAATGTGTCTGCCTTTCAAGGGGACAGCCCCACACATCCTGTGCACTGAGGTGATGCTGGATAATTTCTCCTCCCAAAGAAACTACCTGTGCACCAGTTCACTCTTCAGCCATTTGGTCAGTGCTGTCCATCCATTCTCCACTGTTTACTCGGAGCCGAAAAGCAGCAGGAAAAGCCAAGCACAGGCAAAATGAAATCGTTGCCCTAGCAAGGGTTTGCATACACAGAGAGAATTGTTCCCTAAATTCCCTAAAGCCCTTCAAGGCAAATCTCTGGAAGAACTGACAGGTCTTCAGCTAATTTTGGATGCCTTTTGCTCAGCTGTCGTGCTGTTACTGCCAAAGTCCAATCAGTGTCCAACAGCCTGGCCTTAAACCTCTCCCTGGAATAGGGTCAGTCTGGGCTAACAGACTGTGGCTGAATCCTGGAATGGTTTGGGTGGGAAGAGATCTTAAGGATCATCTCATTCCAACCTCCTGCCATGAGCAGGGACATCTTCCACTAGACCAGGCTGCTCCAAGCCCTGTCCAAGCTGGCCTTGGACACTTCCAGGGATGGGGCATCCACAATTTCCCTGGGCAATCCGCTCCAGGCCCTCACCCAACAGCTCAGACTCTTCCCAGGGAACTAAAACCGCCATCCTGTGTCAAAACCAGAACTGACAGCGTGTCCTTGCATTGCTTCACTTCATCCCATAAAAAAAGCTGGCCACGAGGTTGTTCCCAAGCTTTCCATCAGCCCTCCCCTGCTCTAGCAGTCCCCCATATCCCTTTCAAGCATCTTTTCCTCCTCCAGTGGTCTGGGTACAGCCGGCTATTGCATAACCCTAATTATGTGATTGCTGTAATTGCTCTGCCGTCTGCAGCTCATGGATTCGTTACAAGCTTTTCATATGCTAAAATGATTATTAATGAGAGCAGTCCCAACCCAGCGACAAACAACAACCACGACAAAAAGATCTTTTGGAAGGCAATTAGCTCCATGCTAAGCTGCCTAAACCATGGGCTGGGCTGGAAAATTTCAGGCTGGAGAGGAAGCACTGGCAACACGGCTTTTCTCTTCCCTTTTTGTTGAGTTAATGAGTTACTGAGTGGCAGCAGGCACAGTTATTCTGGTGAAACAGCTCCCCTAAGGAGCCTTTCCAGGTTGGTGCTGATGGAAAGAGCATTTACCCCCGGATAAACACAGGGCTGAGATGTATTCCCGGGTCATTGTGATGTACTCCCAGGTCGCTGTTGTATTGCTTTCCTTGGGAAAACAAAGCAAAACAAAGCAAAACAAAAGAAAACAAAGACAACCCAGGGAAAAAAGAGGCTGTGGAACAAAAAAGAACAATTATTCTTTAGAACTCTGTGCTGGTGCATCCCAAATCCTTCTCCATATTTCAGTGGCACTGGATGGTCTCATGGGCTCTCCAGTCCAAGCCAGGCTGCGGTGAGTTGCTGTGCTGATGATACCTGTGAGGTCACATCCCAAGGCCTGGTTACCCTCACATCCTCCATCTGAGCTGATGATGTGCTGGAATGATGGATTTACCCCATTTCCTCATTGTTTTTATTGCTTCTGAAATCTAATGATCAAATTTCCTGTCGTATCAGAGGATAGACAGCCCTGAGGTAAGAACGGAGGCTGTTCCTGGGATTCAGGGGAAACTCGAACACATAAGGCTGGATCTTTCGATTTGTGGCTCAGGATCTTCTGGAAACAGCTGGGAAAGGCTCCACTGGAGATAACCAAAACTGGAAAACAGGAATAGCATCAAATCTGCAGGGTCAAGGTGGCAAGTGGTTCACATCTGACCAAGTAGTCACTGCCTTCTACTTCAGGCCCTCACTCCTGACCCTTTGGGTGCAGGTTAAGCTGAATTTGCTGCTTTGCCACCTTTCTGCCTTATTCAAAGGGAATCTGGCTCAGTCCTATGTTCCCAGCCTCCTGCTGGCTTTGGAAGTGTGAGCCAATATCCTGCCCACCTCTCAGGTGGGATCTGAGCCCTCAGCTCGGTGTTGCTCACCGGTGACAGAACATCCCATTCCCCCTGGAATTACCTCATGGCTCGGCTCTGGTGTGAGGGAGAGCTGCCAGCTGCAGGGTCTGAGGGAAGCAGCACGCTCAGACACACAGACTGCAAATTCCAGCAGTGGAAGTGGGAGGACCTCGGGGGGTTTGGTGGCAGCTTTTGTGTTAGGGGGGATGCAAATGGCAGGGAGGCCCTAAGTACCTCTGAGGGTCCCGGCTCAAATAGAAGGTAAATAAAGACTCAGCAGGGATGTTGTCATCGCCCTGCTAGGCTGCTTTAATAGACACATCCATCATTTCTTTAGAGAGCGCAATGATGGCTTCATTAAAAACTCTTCTGTGTAAATAAGTCATTGGGCCAGCCACTGCAGAATTCGGGTGGAAGGATGTTACGTCTTCTCCCTCAGATAGGTCTGGTTATCGGCACATGCTCTTTCACCCCCTTCTTTTTCTTTTAGTTTTGCCACAAAACGTATTTCCACAATATCTTGGTGTGCAGCCTTAATGGGGAATGACTGCTCAGGTGTGTGATGCCAGGGAATTGAGTCTGGAGATGGGGACACTTTGGTCTGATGGTGGGTAATGGCCCGTGGACCCAGAACATCGAGATCACAGCTGGAGAGAGCCTGTCTTGGCCACGGAAGCCTCCAGGCCCTGAAACTCTGATTCTTGAAACTCAGCTCCCTGCATCCCGGCCCTCCCTGCAGGGAGCATTTCCTGCCGCTCTTCCTTGCTCAGATGACTCATGGGAGTGTTGTGCTGCCGGAAAATTATCTCTGCAGGGCTGGAAAGGGATGGGGAGCTTTCAGCCCCTCGTGAGTCACAGACTCGAGAGGCTGCTGCTACCAGGTGGAAGGGAAACAGGACAAACTTGGAGGAGCAGATGAGAAGTGTCTGTGCTCCACTTTTTGGGAGCAGCCTGTCCCTACACCCACCATCCTGCCACCGTTTGATGACAGCTGAACAAGAGAGGAAAAGGGAACATTTCAACTGGTTGTCAGAGCCAGACTGGCACCTCTGCTTTCCTCCACCTGCCTCGTTTATTCTTGCTGTGATTTAATCCCCTTCCCATCTCATTTCACCCACCAGGAGGGTGCCAGTCAACATTCAGGAGGAGCTGGGCTCTTCTCCATGGGCTCTTCTCCATGGGCTCTTGTGAGGCACCGTAAATCAGTGCATTTCACTGCATTGCAGCCTGTTTTCCCCACAAGTCTGTCAGCTGTGCTGGTTGCACATGGATGTAGGGTGGTTTTTTTTGGGATGCCCAGGCACACCTTGCTTTTTGGCCATAGGATTCCTTGTTTCCTCAGCAATGTCATGGATGCCACCAGTTGCTGACACACTCTTGTCCTTGTAGCACAGATCTGATTTGGGCCAGCAGCTGATGCTGAGACTTGCTTGACTTCTTCTGGAAGCAGTAAAGGTCTAGAAATACTCATTCATCCTGCTCACCATCTCCTCCTGGAGGTAATTCTATAGGGAAGCTCCTCTTGGGAATTCTAAATGCCTGCTTTACTCACAGGCAGCTCTCCAGGTGTACTTGAGGAGGGGAGTTAGGGCAGAGCGTAAAACCAAGCCCAGACCCGGAGTACTGGGAGTGAGCAATACTCAGACCATGGGACACAGTTAGACTGGCATTTTTGGCTGCTCCTGAGCCCAGCAGACAAGATGCCAGAACTCCAGGGAGAGGAATGCGTTTGTTCCTGCTGGAAGTTGCAGTAAAATTATTGAGGTTTGCATGAGCTTTTATGACGAACCAGAGTCCGGCTCTGGGAGGAGTTAGGCAAGAGGACTTTGTACAGAGTTGGGAGAAGAAATTCTGCCTCCTGTGCCTTCATCTCCCAAGGGTTACATCAGCATCCCACCACCAAAACCAGGATAGCAACTGAGACCAGTTGCAGTAAACCAGGGGACGAGGGCAGGGCACAAAAAACAGACTTTCCAAAACTGTGGAGGGGTTTCCCCCCAATCCTCTTGCTCCCTGCTGCCTTTCACAGGAGGCTCCAGCAGCTGGAGCTGGTAGAGAGTAATACTGTCTGGCAGAGAGTATTTTCCCACTCATCTGCATGAAGAATCTTATCACACAGCACTTCAATGTCCAATTTCTCTGCAGTGGAAAACAGGCTCCATCTCAGCAGGTGTCTCAGCGCTGTTTACAGGACACCTGTCAGCTCTTTTGGCTCCCTGTCCCCTCTGCCTCCTAATTATAAAATTGTGGATTGATGCAGCTTTTTTTTTTTCTTTTCTTTCTTTCTTTTTTTTTTTTTCCCCTTCTGCACAAAATGTCAAATTGCAGAAATTAAAAATGTAAATGATGGAGTCTAATTAACCAGTTGACAGCAGAGCACAGCTGCAAATGACAGTGACTGATTACCTTCTGCAAACCTTGTCCTCCAAGACCTGCCTTACCCTGGGGAGGAAGGACATCAAAAATAGCAACTTCCTTAAAGAGACATCACTCTGCACTCTGAAGCCTGTTGGGCAACGGTTCTGGGGGATCCATATCCTATGGATAAAGCCCCAGACCTCTTGAGCACAGGTGGAATGGTGTTGATGCTTAAGGGAAGCAGGTTTTCCCTAGTCACAGCAGGGATGTCAGGGTTGAAGGCTGTTGCCACAAACATCAGCTTAAAATTTGTGTCCAAATGGGGATCCCAGCAGAAGGGTGGCTGGGATAGACTGGATTGAGTGGTGGAGATGGGTGATATCAGCAGTGGGGGCAGATGTTCTTGTTTGAAGGGCACAAGCAAGAATCAAAGGTTTTTTTGTGGAGGGGTTGTGTTGTTATTTTTTTGTTTTGTTTTGGGGTTTTTTTAGTTTCTTTTTTGTCTGTGGAAGTGAAATCCTGAGCCCTCAGTGGGGCTTCTCTGTAGGACTAGAAGCAGGGCTCAAATCCCTTCAAGGCCAGATGAAGGAATCCAGCATCAATAGGTTCCTCCTGCTGCTCTGATGGCACGGAGAACATCCCCAGGATGCTCTTTGGGACTTCAATCTCACGCTGGGGTGGAGCGAGTACAACACATGCCTGGTGCTCAGGATCAATGCTTCAATAATGTTTAATTTCCCTAAATCATCTCCCTTGCTGCAAAAGGTACGAACAGATATTTTAGTGATGCACCAGCCGAGCCCAAACCGGGAAATGTGTTTTTTTTTTTTTTTTTTTTTTCAAATTTCATCTCTTGATGAGAGGAAATTCTCTCTCCCCTCAAGCAACCCCTGTATTTCTCTCTGCCAGGTACTACTCAGACATTGCCAAAATGCCAGCCATCAGTGACCAGGACATGAATGCCTACCTGGCCGAGCAGTCCCGCATGCACATGAACGAGTTCAACACCATGAGTGCGCTCTCCGAGATCTACTCCTACGTGGGCAAGTACAGCGAGGAGGTGAGAGCCTTGGAGAGCTTCTGAGGGACCATGGCACAGCCCACCCATGTGTCACAGATGCCTAGCTTCATCCTGGCTGGGGAGGAGGGTGGATTTATGGGGTGAGGAGCAAGGTTTGGGGCCTGTCAAAGGGAAGGTCTGGGAGTTTCTATTCTCTGCAGCAACTCTTCCGTCTGGATCCCCGTTGTTTTTGTCTCCTGCTGTTGGTCAGGCAGGTTTAGCTGGTTTGCAGTAGGTGATGGTCTGCTTGGTGCAGAGGAGCCCTGCATGAGCTCTGCATCTCATGTGGCCAAAAGTTGTTCAGGAACACGTGGCCAGTGCCATTCCAGGTACCCTAAAACACCCAGGAATGGTCCAGCAGGCACAACACAGACTTTGAGGTGTCCTGCATGGTTCTATGTATTGAAGGCCAGGTGAGACCCCGTAGGACATCTCAAGTGGCATGGTCAGGTGATGAATAAAGCTGTTAAATAACTGATCTACAAGACAAGAATCAGTTTGACTGGTTGAAACCTAAAAGTCTGTATTTAGGGAGATCAAGCCCAAACTGCCTGCCTAGTTCCCTGCTGGCTGATTGACCTGCTGTGCATGATCTTAGCCAAGCCTGGGACTTAGAGAAAGCTAATCCTCATCTGCTGCTATAAGATGCTGGACTCAGTTGTTTTGGGGAAACAAAAAAAAAATAAACCCTATCACTTTTCCCCTTTTCCTTTTCCAGATTCTCGGAGCCCTCGATCAAGATGACCAGGCTGGGAAACAGAAACTTGCCTACAAACTTGAACAAGTCATAACCCTCATGAGCATAGACAGCTGAGAACTGTCCTGCCAGGGCCACCCTGGGAGGGATAAACCAAGTCGTGCCTCACTCAAGATCATCATCTTTACCAAGTGCAAGTTTTGATGGGCTGTAAGCAGAGTCACCCACACAGCTCCTCTCTCTCTCATTTTCTCTCTCTCTCTCCCTCATTTCTTTCTCTTTCCACATCTATGGACAAAGTGACAGAGCCCCAGGGGTTAAAGGAAAAGACTGCAGAGGAATCTTGGCTCTGGGGCCATGAAGACATTCAGGTGGAGCTCTCCTTTTCACAGCTTCCCCTCTGCCTTCACCCTAGAGAAAAACTATTGAACACACGAAAAAAAAAACCAACCCCCCATGAACCTTCCCCCAACATCTCATCATCACTCTGCAGAGGCGAAATTGGGAGGTAACTTCTGTCATGCTGCTTTATCTGCCCTCCAAGGGCTCGTAGCCCCTGGAGTGGACATGGAAACGAACTCAGTATTACTCAAAGTCTCCCCGAGGGGAAGGCAGCTGCCTGCAGGGATCCTGGAGGGCAGAGCAAATCCGGCTCCTCTCCTGCAGAGCCATTGCAACTCCATCTCCTGAGAGTGACCCACCGGGAGAGGAACCCCAGGGCTCCCCGGAAAATGCCAGGGTGGGACCACTGTGGCTCTGACCCGCCTGGTGTAGCTGCTCCCTTGGGGCAGGGAAAGGGTCAAGAGGGGAGGAGGAGACCAACCCTCCCCCGCCCATGTGTTTCATATGGTTATTCTTATTTTTTCCAAGAGACATGTGTCCCCCTCCGTCTTTTCCCGTCGTGTCCTGTTGGTCGTAGCACTGCGGCAAAAAACGCTCTCTCTGCTCTGTGGCCTCCTGTCAGTGGTGGTTCTTCTGCTCCTTCTGGCAATGAATGGACAGCACAGCATCTCCCTTGTTCCCACATCAGCTTGGAAAGCAAGAGCCACAGGTGTCATTTTGTTCCAGCCTCAACAACAACAACAACAAAAAAAAACCCCGACAAACCAACCAGAGGGATTTTTTTTTTTTTTTTTAAAGCTGTTAATTCTTTCCGTTTTGTTTCCTCAACTGGAACAAAGGTGTTGTTTTCTCATGGTGGAATATCAGAAGGGCACTGAAGGACTTGCCAGGAACCAAGGTGGTGCACAGGACTGATGGTAAAACCTTCCTTCCGAGCCCCTCCTAGGAGGAAATGTCAGCACGCGTTCTGGAAGGAAATCTTGGAGGAAATCCAAAGGAAGCAGTGCAAAAAATTCTTCTACCTGGATACCCCCAGCTGAACTGCAGGTCTTCTGGAGGTCTCTGTTAAGCCTATCTGCCTTTTGGTGCCAACTCCTGGCCTTTCCTCCTCTCCATCTCTGCAACCAACAGGCCTTGCTGAAGGATTTTATCTCTCTTTGCACTTCTTACCCCTTCAGAGATCACTGTCACCATGGGACTGTTGTAGGTGATCACCCTGTCCCATCCTCTGCTCAACTCCTCCAGAACAACATCTCAACCTTTTCCATGGCCAACC